ACAGACAAGAGCGTGCAGCCAGATATGACTTTGTGGGTTACGGAAATTTCCGCAGACAAGACAAAAATTTGAACTAGATGTTGAAGTAGAAGGGAAGAGCAGAACACATGAAAACACTTGGCATGTTGAGGGTCTGGTGAGCAGTTCAAAGTCATAAGGTATGAAGTTCATGATGATAAGTAGTGGGAAGTATGTCTAGAAAAATAGAATGGCTTTGGATTGGAACGGACTTTGTAGGCCTTATTTTGTCATGTAGACATAAAGTACCATTGAACATTTTATGACAAAGCGAGTTTGATTATATTTGCATTTTAGAACCATAACTTTGGTAATGTAGATCAGAGAGGACTAAGAGATTGATATTAGGGAGACTAATGGTAAGGCTATTGCAAATAGTTCAGGTAAGAAATATTGAAAATCCACACTAAGGAACAGCCTATTTTCTGCCTACGTGGTCTATTTGTGAGAAACAAAGGGAAAAAGTAAAATCTGGGAAGGAAGGACCATATTTGACATGTAAATTAGGGGGGGAAAAACCAATCATCATTAAAGGGCAACATCAGGGAAACTTGCAGTGTTAGAACTCTTTTGTATCATGCTTGCCATGATAGATACACAAACTTATACATGTAATAACATTGCCTAGAACTAAATTCATAGACACACATAAGTGGGTCCAAGTGAAACTGGGAAAATCTCAATAAGATTATGGATTGTTTGTACCGTTGTGGTAAACTGGATAAAATTTACATGGATATCTCTATGCTATTTTGTACAACTGTGTGAATCTATAATAATTTCAATAAAAAAATTCAAATAAAAATGATAGCAAAATATATTTTCCAAAAAAAATCTTTAATCCTTTTCTGGATGTAGGGGGAGAAATTTAAAGCAACTTATTCACAGTTCTCCACTGGAATTTAGATTGATTTTATGTTTCATGTACATAATAATTTGAAAAAAAAGAAAAAAGAAAACCAACCAGATTCAAAACTAAGAAAACAGTTATTTAAATATAACTTGTATAGTTTTGGATGATAATTATTATTGGCGGCATTAGACATTTTACATGCTGACTAATTGGAAGGGGAGAAAATAAACATTTATTGAGTAGTTAAAGTGCAAGTCATTGATTTGGGAGGCTTACATATATTTCCCTGTCTCATGCTAAAGAAGAGTCAGGTGTTATTAGAATTATTAATGCACTTTACAGATGAGGAAGCCTAAGGATTGGAGTGTATAAGTACTTGTGCAAGGTCACAGAGTGTTGGGATGAATCTATGACTTTCAAGTCTATGCACTTTCCTACTACTTAGGAACTGAAATACAGACAAGCATATTTAAAATGTGCTAGTTTCTCTATTATTGCCTTGTCTGGTTGATCTCTACAGTGTCTGTATTCAATATTTAAAAATGTGGAATACTTTTGTGGTAATCAGTGTGGATTGTTTCAGCTAAGAAAAACATGTTTAAAAATTTGTGGTAAAATAGCTTTTGATAAAATATCTCACAAAAATAGCACTAGAAGAGGACTTAAGGGAAGTTCCCTCAACCATTAATTAAAATAAAAACTAAAACAAAATCTCAAAAAGAGGTTTATAATGTTTACTATATGTCTTGCAACTTACATGTTGTTTAAAATTTCACAACACAACTGGGACGAAACTTGGTCTATTGAATCCTGAAGCCATACTTCTAATTACTAAGCTATGATGCTGTAAAAATCTACCAAAAATAAATAATGAGGGATGAAGGAAAAAGAAACTTTAATAGAAAGTTTAGTATGGTCCAAATCAGTGACCTGGGCCACCATTTATAGTATTTAGATGAGTTGACTACATTGTGTGAGTTGAGGGTCTAAGAAGGGTCAACGAGCAAAGCTCAATGATTTCTTCGGGTCAGTCATCTTCAACCCCTTTGTCTCATTTTCTTCTCTTCAAAGCTCTTTTACTTACTAATATCTACAATTATTTCATTACTTGTCTGTCACTTGCCCCACCTCACTAGAACATAAGTTCAATAAAATCAGGAACCTTGTCTTTCTTGTTCAATGCCATATTTCCAGTGTCTCAAGTTGTTGCTGATATATAAATATTTGTTGAGTTAATGCATGAATGACTGGCCTTATCTGGACTTAAATGGCAGAGGTTTAGACTTAAAAACTGTGGTTCGAAAGATCAAATTAAAAAGCATGCATTATTAGCAATTTTGAGTGTTTCATTTTTTAGGTTGGCTAGGATATGTTGAAAGAAAGGGAAGAAGAGCTGGAGGAGGATGCTGGAGAAAAGAGGAGAAAAAAGAATGTAAACTGGTAATGATAAGCCGTTAAGTACGGGGTCAGAAATTTGGAGCCTTAAGTCAGTGCCTGAAATTTGTGGGGCCTTCTGGAGTGGGATAGAAACCATCATGAAGGCTAACTTCTTAGTTCGGTCTCATAAGTTCTACCACCAAAAAGATTTATGGAAAGGAGAAAGCTATTTAGTTTATTTTTAATATGTTAATTATCTTGCATTGTGCATAGCTTTGGTTAGAATGCAGTGCTCTTGAGGCCTCCATTGAAATTAGTGCCAAGTGTATATACATATTGGGCACAGGTCTACCTAGTTTATGTATTGTGGGTTCTTCATGAGGAGTCATTACTGTTATTCTTATAATCCTTGCTACCCTTACATCATTGTTGAGTAGGATGTACATGAAAAAAGTTTGAGAAAAACAAAAGAATTACATACGAAGAAACAAAATGGATGGGTAAACTGATGCATCTGTAGCATAGAGTGGGAAAGACAACGAATTTCAATGACATATGTGTCAAGGAAAAAACTGTATTCTCTAAAATGGAATAGAGACACTTGCTAAACGTGCGGATTACAAAAGATGACTCTAGGCAGTTTGAAGAGGGTCTCAAACTTTTTGGTATCAGGACCCCTTTACACTCTTAAAAATTGAAGACCCCAAAAAACTTTTATGTACATTACCGATATTTATCATATAAGAAATTAAAATTAAGAAATTTAGAGTATTATTTTATATAAAAACAATAAACCAATTAAATGTTAACATAAAATAATCTTTTATATGAAAAATTTTGAACCCCCCAAAAGAAGATATCTACTTAGAAGGGCTCCTGGTGACTAAATGGGTTCAAATTTAAAAACAGAGCCTAGCGGCCATTTCTAAACAGGGGCCTCATGCTAACTGCCTTTCTGGGAGAAGCCTGCACTAAGCTTCTTGCCTCCAGCACTGAATGCCTGTCTGCCATCTGAGCAAACCCTTAAAAAGGAGTTTCTGGAATCCTATTTCCACCAATAAGACTGAGACTTTCCCCAACCCCATCAAGGCAGCGCATCTACATCCCCATTAGTATTTTCACTGACCAATCAGAGGAGCTCCATTAAAAATCACATTAAAAGACATGCATTATTAGAAATTTATTAGTGTTTCATTTTTTAGGTTGACTAGGATACAGCTAGGATCCTAATCGTATGGGATCCTGAATCTGACCAATCAGGACAGTGCTTTTAGGACAATCAAACTGTGAGTATTTGAAGTCCTCATTTGCATGAGGGCAGCCCTATTAGGGACCAGGGACAGGGACTTTTCTCTGTATAAATCAGCTCCCCTCTGGCTCAGAAAACACACTTTCTCGTTCTGCTGAAGGCTGTGTATCTCTGGCGGGAGCTGAAACACTGAAGATGCTTGTGGACCAGAGAGGAGTAGGGCAGAATGGAGCAGGCTGGACCGACTAGACCTGACCTGACCACAGCGGAGCAACGCTATCTAGCAGGAGAAGGGCCTCACCCCAGGGCCACCTCACAGCCATTCTGTTTCATAATTAAGCTGTAACACTGTTGAGCTGGTTCCACAGCCATGCTTCATTATGAACTGTTTGCAGTTTGTCCTCACTGCACTCCAGATAGGGGATTTCTGTTGGCGTGGAATTGGTTCCCATGACTGAATGTTAACAAAAGTAACTACTTTCCAAAACAAACAAAAAATTTTAAGTAGATTGATATTGTTTGCCGTTTTTGCAAATTTCTGCCTGGTTTAACAGCAGATGACTGGATTCTAATATATACTTCGGTTTTCAAGGTTTCCATGTCACATGTCATGCATGTAGCCTTTGGAAAACTCCACTGTGAGAGAATGAGAGTGCAAAAGGCAAATAACGTTTTAGTTAAGTATTATGTAAATACTTTTGACCACCTTGAAAGGGTCTGGGAACCCTCAGACCACGCTTTGAGAACCACTGTTTTAAAAGTGAATATTAGTTAATCCTGCATCAATTGAAAACTAGTTTTGTGGTTCCACAGTCCTCGGGATTTACATAGGATTTACTTTTTAAGAAATATGAAACAAGATTGTCCTCATTGTAAGGCATCCAGAGAATACACAAACATATCATTTTTATCCATCAAAAGATCTAAAGCAGAAATGAGAGATCACAGGGCAAGTAAAAGGACGTTAGGGGAAACCACGGAGATCCACTGAGTTGGGAAAAGCCAAACCGATAGGAGACTCCGCCGAGGTGGTAAGGAGAAAAAAACCGTTATTCTTAGGGAAAAAATGGGCGGATACAGATAATGGTTACCGGGGAAGGGGAGTTTCAGGAATTCGGCTGGGACGAGGACGAGAACAAGGAGCTCTCGCCATCAGGATGCGGCGAGCCTGAACCGGGCGGGCGGCTGACCACCACCTTCACTCGTCCCTGAACCACGCCAACGAGGGCGAGGCGGACGGGTCGAGGCACGCGGGTCAGGGCCCTTCCCAGAACGGAAGAGGTTGAGATTTCCTTTCAAAGGGGAAAAAGAAGAGATGGCGTGTGCGTAGCAGGGGGCGGTGGCGGCGGCGGGAACCCGAGGAACCCTAGCGTGGTACAGAGGGTTGGAGGTCGCTAAAGAAGAAGGACAGTTCTGTTGCTATGCAACCCGTCCTGTGCCCGCCTCCCACTCGCGTTGCTAGGAGACGTCGAGGCGGGGGGAGGGCGGCGGAGCGGGGCCTACGTGCTGACGCTAATTGTATATGAGCGCGAGCGGCGGGCTCTCGGGTCTTTTTTAGCGCCATCTGCTCGCGGCGCCGCCTCCTGCTCCTCACGTCGCTGCCCTGAGTCACTGCCTGCGCAGCTCCGGCCGCCTGGCTCCCCGTGCTAGCCACCGGTAACGGATGGGGACCTGAAAGGGAGAGGGGAACGTAATGTTGGCCGGGTGGCCGGCGCGGAGGGGAGGGACAGAGAAACGAGAGCAGGGGGTGCTGGCCGCTTGGGGCCTCTCGGCTCGTCTTGGGAAATCAGAGCCAGAAGCGTCCGTAGCGTTTCGACCCTGTCTCCTGAGAGGCCGCCGGCGCATTATTGGGGAACCGCTGAGGAGACGCGGGGTTTGGTGCGGCCTGGGAGGGCCGGAGGCCGTGCCAGTCTGCGCGGAGGTACTCTGAGCTCCACCGGCTTCTCCGCGCGGACGGGCGAGGCCGCGGCGTCGCCCAGGCTCCCTGAGGCGAGGACGGCCGGCGCGTTAGGGACCGGGAGGCTCCCCGGGTACGGGCTGGGCTCGAGTGCCTAGCCGCCTGCCGCCTTGACGTCCCTGCTCCCTCAAATTTAATACCCGGAGGGAGGCCGCTGGGGGATGGAAAGAACGGTGGAGGCTGCGAATTCCGATGGGAAGGAGGGGCTGTGAAGGGACGAGGCCCGGGGGCGGGGAGGGGGCGGGGAGGCTGTGAGGCTCTTCGGCTCTCCGCCCACTGGAGGCGGTGACCGTGCTGGGCGGGGAAACCCCCGGCGGCTTCCTTCGACACGTGGCCGCCGCCTGGGACATTGGAGACCCTTGTTTTAGTTGTCCTTACACTGCAAGTTTTAGAGACGGTGGGCTGTGAAAATGACTAATGAAGTCCAGCCCTTGGATTTCAAATTCCTACCTGCTTCTCTTTGGTCTTTTATTGATACTGGAGAAAAATATGAATATTAGGTGATGGGTGATGAAGCAGGGCCTCCATTGCTAGATTTTAAAATATTTAATGTGTGTAAGGCACTTATGGTAGCTGTTCTCAACAAAAGATTTTTTGTGTACCTCAGGTAGTTAGAATTTGGAGGGGTGTCTTGACCAGGTGTTTTATCGGAAATTATTTGTAATTCTTAAGTTAGTTCCTTTATTGAAGTACCCAGAATAGTGTACTTAATACCTGTTTGGTTTTAGAGATGAATGGAGAAACTGTGGAATCGAATGAGTAGTTAAATGTACACTTTCTGAGCCAAGTTTGTAACCTGCTGCTTTATCAGTGCCCCACTTCTTAAAAAAGGCGGCAGTGAAAGGCAAGGAATGAAGTCCTGTATGGGAGGGCTAGGCTTTGAGAGTACAAAGAAATGAACTGGATACAGGCTATCACTGATTTCAGGCTATCACTGTCTGATTACTTTTGTAATGACCACTTTAAAAACTCACTACACTGCTTGACTGGTTTCAGGGGAGCCGAGTTGTAAAATTTGTCATTTTGAATATAGCCTCAAAAAAACTTTTCAAATTAGTATTTAGGTCCTATTTTGTCAGCTTTAATACTACTATACTTACTTTCCTTGGGAAGTAATACACATTACCTTTGGGTAAGGGGAAAACACTGTACATCCTCACTTAACGACATGGGGTAGGTTTTTTGACTTTAAGCGAAACTGTATAAGGAAACTAATTTTACCATAAGCTAATCCATAGAAATGCGTTAAGTTTTTACTTCATCTAACCAACTTTATAATGAAATGACACTGAATGAAACTATGGATATTCAAGAACCTGCTGTATATAGAATAACTTATTTAAAAGTGAGCGGAGGTAAATGTGGTTTACAGTGACCTAAGAGTATTAAGTAAGTCTCAAATGCTTGTTCACAGTTGTCTGAGTTCAAATGGGCCAGATGTAAAATGTGAAATTTACTTTTAAAGAAGATGGGAGGGTAGATTGAACTAAACATTGGTAGGTCGGCTTGCATCTGGTAATATAAAAATCTTGACGTAATGAATGGTTTTTTTCAGTTCGTTATTGGGTTAATTTGATAAATAGCTTTTAAAAATCGCCATACTTGTGTGAAAATCTTTACCTGTTGGAAAGTACCAATTTTAAATGTTGAGTCTATTGACAGAAAATTGTTAAGCTGATACTAAACATGTCATGTGTGTGTCTTGTCCTCTAGAGATTAAAAAAAAAAACAAACTTGTACCAGAACTAATTTAATCCAAATTGCTATTGCTCATTTTATTACTTAACTTGTGCATTTTGTATCCAGGTGACTGATTTGATTCTAAATATCTCAAATTACATTCAGTACAGAGTCATTTTGTAGGAAAAGGGACTTAAGGAGGCAGAATCTGTTTGACTTCAAGGATATGAAGCTAAAAAAAATTAAGTCCAGTACATCTGAAGACCTAATTGGCTTTATTAAGCAATGGGCAGCATCTCATCCAGCAACTAGAAAGGGGCCTCTGAGAGGTTATAACAACTGGAAGGTTTTTATAAGAAGAAGGGTGAGGCAAGGTTGCTATTAACGAAAAAAAGAAAGGATTGTTTTCAGCAGGGAGGTTTTTAATCGTGCAATTGCCTCTTTCTATGGGGTGGAAAGAGAGAGTCCATGTGACAGATTACCTCATTGGTGTTGACTAGAAAATTCCAGACTGATTGATTAAGATGTTTCTGGGAGAGGTTGAAACTGCAGTTAGATCAGGTATTAAATCTAGGTTTGATATCAATGGGCCTTTAGCATGAGTGATGCCATTTTGGGCCTGTGTTTTTTTTTCTCTCTAACAATGTCAAAATAAAGAACTTTACTTACTTTATTTTGTTGTGTGGTTGTTAATTTGAAATATTAATGAAAGATAGGAAGGATTAGAATAGGGAATGAATCCTGATTAACTTAGAAAACTAATGATTATTAAGATTCTCAAGTCTAATTGAATCTAATTACTCGTGTTCTTAGTTGATTCTTCGAATAAATATTTTAGCGCCTATTTGGATATATCTTACATCAAGAACCAAACAAATTGTCTAGATATAAAACGTTGAGATGACTGCTGTGAAGAAAAAGTCGGGGATAGAGAGTATTTATAACCTTTATGTTAAGGAACCTGTTATAATGGTGATATTAAGTCCCATTTCATACTGATTTCATCTGAATAAGTTCTTGTTTGGCAGAGTAGGAGTTCAAGAAGATGTGTGCTATTTTTTTCCCTTCCTTTTTAAATTGTTTAGTACTTTGACAGCAGACCACTGGATCACATTACCAGGCTGCCACAGAAGGTAGTCTGTGATACTTCTGATTAGCAACTCTACCTTTTACTGCTGCATAGGTTGATACATTTTTAGGTCTTCAGGAGTTTGGCATATCTTTTATTGGAAAAGGGGGCTGTAATTTTGAAGTTTATTAATTTAGGTTATTTTCTAAGGTAAAGGATACAGAAGAGCACAATGGGTAAATAATATAACAGCACTTATTGGGTAGTTTTTCAAGCAATATTTTAAATTATTCTACATGTATTATTATTTGATTTAGTGCTCTTGGAGGTACATACTATGAAAATTTGAGGAAACAGGTAAAGAACTTATCCAAGGTTACATAACAATGATTTATAATGAAAATTTTGTATTGATTTTAAAGGGAGTTCACTTGACTTAAATTGTTATGCCATACATCAGTTTGGAATTCAGAAGCACTCTTGCTTGGGTTCTACTTTGCTCCCCCCAAGGAAAAGCCACAACACAATGGTTATGAAGTCTTCTTCCAACATATGTTGTATTTATTCCATGTGAATGATTTTTGTTTGTTTATGCTGGGTGTATTCTAATATCAGACCATCCCAATATGTCTCTCTGCCATTGTATGAGATAATACTCTAGATAATGAGATTCCTTGAATAGAAGATAGTGTTCTCAAACAGGAGTCCATTTTGCTTAGGACGCTAATTAAAAAGTCGGTTCTAAGTTAAAAGTAAGTATAAAGAATATATTCTGACTATGAGGTTGTGTTGGAGCTAGATAAAGTAGTGAGTCTCTGGACCACGGAAAATGTTATTAGTTTGTTACTGTATAATCTATGGAGCAGTAGTCTGATAGGGAAGGCACCTTTGTTTTTGGAATAGTGGACTGGACATCGGTTTTGGAAGTCAAATTTTGACTCCTAGTTTCTTTTGTGTGTGGCTGAGCAAGTTGCTTAATATTTAATCTGCAAATAAGAGGAAAGCTTGTAATAGTCCCCTACAGAGTAGGCTCCATAAATGTTAGTTTTTTTCCTTCTCATTGAGAGTAAGAAGATAATCAGGTTTATTGGAATGGTAAGTTATTTGATAGCACGTCTGGACATCTAGCTATTAAAAGATCACGAAATAATCAGTTTATGGTTTGATTCAATGATTTGTTCCCTTTCTCTGAAAAATTTTGTGATAAGTTCTCAGGTTAAGATCTGCCTTCAATTGTGTATTGAAGATTCTCTGTATTACATATTGGGTAGTGAGTTGAACCTTTTACCTTTTTCTCTCTGGTAATGCTTTTCCTTAAAATCTTATACTTTATATTAGTACAGTGATACCAGCTTTCTTTAGGATTGTATTTCACTGACAATTTTTAATGGGAGCCTTTAGTTAATTTACATTTAATATAATTACTCTGATATTTAGATTTAAATCTGCTTTTTTGTGTTTTCCGTTTGTCCGTCCTATTTTTCTTTAGCTTGATGTAAAAATACATATATTTTAATTGTTTTACTCTGGAGTTTATATGCTCTGTTGCTAAGCTTTTGGGATTCACCCTAGAAATTACAAATATGCATACATAAGAACAATTGAATACTTGAATCCATTTCCTTCCCCCTTAATCTCACCACTGACATGTTGTGATAGTTCAAGATTTTTTTAACATTCAAAAATTTTTTTTAACACATTGCATAGTGGTGATATTATTTCTTTAAAAATACTTATTTAGATTTCCTTTTTGCCCCTCATTTCTTCTTATACTTTATACCTTCCATTTGGGATGCTGGAGATATTTTTGCCTCAAAATATATGTTTTCCCTTCATTCTTAAAGGGTGTTTTGGTTGGGTATTATACTCTAAACCTCTCAATTATTTTCAGCATGTTAAGTGCAACAGTTGATGATGTTGTCTTTTGGTGTCTATTACTGAAGAGAAAACAATTGTCTTTTGTGCCTTTGAAGTTAATCTGTCTTCTGTGTGCTTTTGAGGTGACTTCTGTTTTTAGTGCCCTGCTTTTTCACTGATATATACAAATGTGCATCTTTTTATTTATCCTGATTGGAATTTGTAGGACTATCTTTCATTCGTTCTGGAAAATTCTTAGCTATTAATTTCTTCAAATATTTTGCCCATTCTCTCCTCCTAGAACTTGCATTAAACCTTTGGTAGACTTTATTGTATTCTAAAATGCCTTTAACTTCAGTATTTTCTATCTTTTAGTTTCTGCCATATTTCGGAAGATTTCTTGTAAGGTTGCTTCTAGCTTCCTAATGAGGTGAATTTGGGCTTTTGTCCAGGAGAGCTGGTTTATTATCCTTGAGAATTTACTTTGGGGTTCCTGCTTAATTTGGGACATTTGGGACAGTTGCTATAAAGATTCCTCACCTTGGATAGCTTCAGGGCTTTTGATTTCACCCATAGTACTTCAAATTTGAAGTTGACGGTTGTCCTCAGGACAAAAGTGACATCCTTCTGTTTATAATTTTACTTCCTGTTTTGCTTTCCATTTTGGGTTAGTAATTCCTTACTATCTAATTTGCATTTTCCATGCTTTTAAGATTTTAACAAATTTTCTATTGTGCACTTTAAATTTCTTGTCATTGGTAGAATTGATCTGCATAATCTAGCTTGCCACTACTGGAAATGGAAATTCTTCAGATCTCTTAGAAAGCAATTTTATGCATAATGAATAAAATTCTCATTGATTTTACTTAATGTTGTTAATTGCAGTAAAAATACATAATGTAGATGTTAACCTAAACTTGTATTTCTCAATGTGATCTGATTATCTGAGATTACTTGCCTCACGTTAGGTTTCTTGTTTAGAATGCATATTTTGAGGGCTGTTCCATTAGACCTGTTGGTTCAGAGTCTGGATATGGGACTCTCATTTTAAATAAACTTAGACGTAATTTTAGATTTACAGAGAAATTGTAGAGATTGTTCAGAGAGTTCTCATATACCCCTTAAACCAGTTTCCCTTAATGTTAACATCTTACATTACTGTGACACATTTATTAGTCTGTATATTTGTCAGAAATAAAAATCTGTTTTTAACCATTCTCAAAGCTAATTAAGTCTTTTACATGAATTTGCTTCTTAATAAGATCAATCTAATGAGGGAACAGTTTTTCCTAATTTTGTAGCTAATGAAATAAGGCCAGAATATGTTTTCCTGAGCAAGATTGCTACAAAGTTGGTGTCAACCCAGATGATCTTACTACAATATTAGGCTTATTTTAAAAAAGTGTGTACAACCAGGAAATCTAATTTATTCAGAATGAACAGATTGGAGAAGGCATCTCTGAAGAATTAAATGCAATCCTGTTGTCTTGAATTCTCTTTAATAAAGAAGCAACTGAATTTTGTTGTAAGAGTTTGAATTCTAAATGTAATGCCACAAAGTAGACACTGAGGGTTAGCAGCATGGTAGTAATAATACTCCAAATATTAGCACTCAACTGCTAAAATCAATAACTCTTCTTAACTCTTCTATAAGCATATTAAGCATGTTGGTATATGGAATCACATCTTGTAGCATTTTGTGAGTAAAGACTTAAGTTTCAAATTTTAAAAACTTGATTTTATTTAATGTAGGATTCTAAATTTGATTAAAACATTTTTTTTTCCATAATCTGCATTACCTGTGTCATTCAGTCATTTTTCTCGAAAACTCATTTTACCTTGTTTTGTTTTTCTAAAATCAGTATTCTTTTAGTTAATACTAATCGTACAGTGAGAAAGAACTTAAGATATTCTCTGATCACTTCTAACAGTAACCAAGAGCATTGTTGACAATGCTCCAGTACATCCATGGTAGGCTAGGGGATGTAATGGTTATCAGTGATGTGACATGAAGTACATTTGAAAAGGTGGGTAAGGTTTACTTAACATAGGTTGGGACTGAGAGCTTTATAACTGTCATTAAATAGTGTAAAAGGCTGACATTTGATACAGAGATTATTAAATTAAAAAAAAATCTCTGGGGAGGCACGATGAGTATAGTGGTGGCAGATTTTGGCTTTTTAACATGAATTTGATAAAAATTAATACTATTAAAAGTGAAGTGGGTTTGTTCTGAGCAGTACTTAGTAGCCTAAAAATTTAAGCAAAAATTGACCATTCATGCTGGTTTTGAATAAAGACCCTTTGTATAGTTCCTTTTCTGTGATTTTACCATACAGTAGATTATTTACCAATAGTGGTACTATAAAAGTCCTTATACGATAGATTAGAAATGCCTACTAGTAACTTGCTTGTTTTGAGCAACATCCTCTGAAAAATTACTTTGACTAATACGAAAGTCCCTGTATTCCATGATTATTTTTAACACATGCTTTTTTAATGGGAGTATACATTTCTTGGAATAGTTTTCAACTTGGTATTGATTTAAAGGGTTTTGGTTTTAAATTTTTTTATTGGTTTTAAATAAATTGTATTTATTTAAACTGATTGATGTTTCTCTCCTTAGATATTTGGAATTCTTACAACATGGCAGACATTGACAAGTAAGTGGCAGATAGTTGGTTCTTTTTACAGAGATTTGTCATCACTTTGTACCTTGATGTAATTAACAGAAGTACTAATTATGTATTATGAAAATGTATGGTAATGACTAATGTTTAGTACTTACTATTATAAAAGTTGGGTACAGTGTATCCAAGACAATATAATCACTATCATAAATATAGTAAGCTGTTTGTCAGTGTTTATTCTTAGGGGAGTGCTGAGCACAATAATGAATCATAAAAATCTTGCAGAATCCATTTTTGCCATATACATTTCCCAAAGATTTTTACTACTTAAATTGTAATATATTGTATATATAAGATAAAACGTATAAAATGTATATGTAAAATTTAAAGAATAATAGGACACTCGTGTACAAGTTTTTAAAAATAGAACGTTACTATGAGAAGCCCTGTGTGCCCCTTCTCAATCATATCTCCCAACTTTCCTCTTCAGAGGTATGAGCACTCTGTTGGCTTTTGTCTGATTCATTTCTTTGATCTTTAGTCTCACCACCTAAAAATTCTTAATGTTTAATTTTGAAAATCTGAATAGCAGTCACAAACTTAAATGTGTAAGGAAAAAGGCAATATTACCACTATTGAAGTCTCCAAGATAGGTAGGAAAGTAAGAAGCAAGAGACTATCTGAGTCATAGTGTGGCTCAACTTTCCTGAGGTTTTTCAAGGGCTTATTTAGGAGAACTCTTGGGCAAGGTCTTGCATCCTGGAAACAGGTTTAATGAAGTTGGCATCTGGCAGGGTTGTAGTGTGGATGGGTGTCTTGCAGAAATATGGTCAGGGAAAATGGAATGAGCCGCATTATTTGTTGCTTGTAATTTTACAGTAGCCTGTCAACTTAGTGGAGTAGGTTAAAGCAGAACACTTGAGGATGGAGAAGATATGATATTATTATCCATAGCTGTTGTGGGCAGCAGAGTATTGAGGTGGGAGGACAGGAAACTAGTACAAGGACAACACATTCAAGAACTGCATATATAAGAATTTGGCTAATCCTCTCATGCATGCTGTCTTTAGTATAAAAAGAGTGGCAGGAGGCATTTTAGTGATAATGGCTCTCAGCGTGCTTGTCTCGTGAATCACATTCTTCCAATCTGGATTTCTTAGCCTTGGTTACACAATTGTCATTGTGGATCTATTTTACTCTTCCTGGGATTTCCTTTTGTTTCTGTACTCTTGAGTTTGCTGGTTGCTGTATCCAAAGTTTTCTTCTTAGAAGAGTACAAGAGAAGTAGAGTACTTTGAGATGGCATGAACAAAAGTGACTTTTCTACTCTTATGCTTAATAGTTTGGGTGTAGAATTCTAATTTGGGAATCAGTTTTCTTCAGAATTTTGAAGGCATTGCTCCATTGTCACCTGGCTTCCAGTATTGCTGTGTTCAGAGTCATTATAATTCTTGATCATTTGTATGTGGCACTTTTTAAAAAACATATATACATATCTGTTTATTTCTGGAAGCTACCCTGGCTTCAGAGTTCCAAAATTTTCACATGGTCGATCTGGTTTTTTTTTTTTTTTATCTCTCGAGTTAGGCATCTAGTAGTGTGGACCCTTTGAGTCTGATTATTTGATGGCTTTCAGTACTGTCGAATATTCTTATTTTGTTGATTGTCTTTTTTCTATTTTCTTTTTCTGGAACTTCTGTTGTATGTTGGACTGGTTCTTCTAATTACCTTTGGTACTATTTTCCATTTTTTTCTCTTTGTTCTTTCTAGGCAAGGCTGACAAGTTTATCTTTCAACTCTTGTTTCTAAATTCCTATTTTTTAGTTTCAAGCACTCTTTTGCTCTCTGTTCCTATTTTTATAGCATCTTGTTCTTGTTTCATTGATTGTAATATTATTTCTCTGAATGTTTCTTTCTCCTGTATATATAATCTGTTTGCTCTTAAAATTTTCTTCTGTTTTGGTCTTAGTGTAAGAGACTTTCCTCAAAAAGAGGTAATACTTGGTTGTCTATCTGCTCATTAAGACTGGGGTGGAGTGGGGATCGGCAGTTGAAGGATGTTTTTTAAAAAAAAAAGTTGACTGGAAAATTCGGAGTGTTGGAGAGGGAGATGCTTGTCTATTTGAGATTTCATTGAGGTCGTCAGGGTGGGTATTTGTTGTGAGAATCTTGTGTCAGAATTGTATTTGGGGGGGGGGGGCTAGTTAGATATACCTCAGTGAAGAGTGCAAAAATATTTGCCTTGCAGAGTTATGGGAGCCAAACAGGGAGAAAGATGCTAGGGAGAGGGCTCTACATTTAGCATTCTAGTGTGTATATTGTCATATCTTAGATACCTGTGTCTGTGGTCCTCTAGTCTGGGTTCTCCCTTTCCAGAGAAGAGTTTAACCCTTTCCAGAGAAGAAACTGCCATTCTTTTGCTAGAGTGAGGGGGAGGATTTAAGCATTTCTGTTTATCAGGTTTTGCTTAGTCCTCCCTATTTTATCCACATTCATCTCCCAGCCCTAGTTCTAGGAGTGTCCTTTTTAAGATTTGTGTTTGGGCTGGTTCTCAACTTTTCCCACTGCTTAAATTTCAATTCTGAGTGAAGTTGCTGCTCTTGTCTCCTGGTCTTTCAGTGTTTATCTGTTTAAAAAATTCTCATAATTTTAGTGGGAATTCTGGAAGGATTAAGATTAGATGAGTATGCGCAATCTGTTATCTTAACTTTCATTTTGTTTTAAATTTTGAAAAAAATAAATTGAGTCTATAATTTTGGATGTTTGTGAGCCCTAGGAGGGTGAGTGGAAGAGGGGATTCTTGTTCTTTAAATCAAGTGTTAGCAAACTTTTTCTGTAAAGGACCTGATCTTAAATATTTTTGGCATTTTGGACCATATGATGTCTTGCAGCTACTCAGCTCTGCTGCTGTAGTGTGAAAGCAGCCATAGACAATACACAAATGAATTAATGTTGTTAGGTTCCTATTTACAAAAAATAGGCATGGGCTGGATTTGGCCATGTGACATAGTTTGTGGACCCCTGTTTTAAAGCTTTAAGATTTAGATGTTTAATAAATGATTGAATGAAAAGACACTGGATGAAGAGCTGTTTCACATTATCTTTAGTTACCCTTAACTTTAAGTATGCTTAAGTTTATACTGAGTGAAAGATATTCCAGAAATAATCTATTGTTTCTGATGAGGAGGCTGATTTTTTTCTCCCTTAGTTGATGGGAACATAAATTTTGCTAGGAGAAAGGAGTTGACCTTTTCTGTCTTGTAACTATGTGAAAATTAGATATTTGTCCATTTATGAAAATTTTTCAAATGTTGTTTCTAAACACATAGAGCAACTAAATCTCTAAACCAAAATGTTAAAATGTAAAATCACAGAAGGAATTACACGATAATCTATATATTGACCTAGATATTTTTATTCCCCTTTCTAATGGTAGTTGTAATTTCATGATCAAAAACTAGATTTTTAGGATGAAATGGGAAGAATGTTATCTCATTACTTTTTACCTTCTCTTTCAATGGTGCCATCTTCCTGGCTTTGCTCTGAGCATGATGTAGACTCAGGCCTTCTTAGCTTTTACTATTCCCCATGTCCACTATGAAGCAAAGAAAAAGGGAGGAAAATCCTCAAAGATAGTAAAGGCTGATACAGTTGCTTCACAGCCAACAGAGATCCAGAATCCTGTTGTTTTTACACACTCCTTCATCCTTAGCTGGTGACTGCTATTCTCCAGGATGCCTCATGATCCAGTGTGGCTGCTGAAGCTCTAGCCATCACATCCCTATTCTAGAGAGGAAGCAAGATCAAAAAGACCTCCTGTTTACCATACTATAAAGGAAGCTTTCTTAAATGTCTATGCTACTACTTTTTATCTCAGTGGCAAAACATAGTCACGTAGCCACATCTAGCTGAAAGGTAGGCTGGGAAATGTAGACTGTTTAGCTTGGTGTATTGCCACTTCATATAAAATTAGGATGCTGTTACTAAGAAAAGTGGAGTCAGTAGATACTGGTTAGAAAGCACATACTTCCTGATATCACATTCTCTGAACCAAAACCTATTAAATCACATTTTTAAAGCTTGAATTATAAACTTTATATTTGACCACATGCTTTTAAATGAAATTTTAAGTGCTTCTTATTTGTACTTGTTTACATATAAAGTTAGAAAGAAAACTGAATTACCTTTTGGATTTCCTATTTCATATTTTTGAAAGAGGCATATTAACAGAAAATGAATTAAAAGTTTTCTAAAAAGATATTTTTTATTCTTTTAAAAACTTTTTTTGGTAATTTGGTACATTTGAACCTTGGTGTGATACTATGATATTGTAGCAAAGAACAGTCTGAACTTGATCAAGATTTGGATGATGTTGAAGAAGTAGAAGAAGAAGAAACTGGTGAAGAAACAAAAATCAAAGGTATTATTTTAAATTTCTTCAGGAGCCAGTGTTTGCTGGCACATGTCTTCTAGAAGATAGTAATAAACGCCATTCTCTTTTTAGATCCTTTTCCACTTTATCCACTGGCCCATATATCAGTTCAGTAATAGTTCGTGCGTGTATATGTTACAGGGGTGGGGAAGAGGGAGATGGAGATGAAGTGATAGTAAGGGAGGAAGGTATGGATATAGTGACTCCTCAGAAATCACTATATGTACCCTGTACTGCTAGAATGTCATGGCGTAGCTATACCAAAACAGCTACCAGTGAGTTCTGATGACTTAGAAATGTTACAGGTATTGGTGTGTGTGTAGGGGTTGGGGGTTGGTGGTGTTTCTATACAAATAACACTAGCTTAGACTTATTTGAAAATGTTTAGTATTTCATATGTAGACAATATGTAATATACCTGTATGTGTATTGCGTGTGTGTGTCTTTTTTTAAATCCATTCCAACCAAACAAAAGGGGTTGATGATGGTGGTAAGGATTTACATTGCTTTAGATTATGCCCCATAGATATGGGCCAAGAATATTAAGGTACCAGACAACTCAACTTTTCATTTTTAAGCCAGAATAAGATAAATTGTAAAGACTACTGAACTTCTAGTTTTGGCTTTCATCTTGCAACATATTTTTAAAAGATATTAGTGGCCAGTATTGATATTTCTAAAAGCATGTTTGTTATCACAACTATATGCCATCTTATAATCAAAATTAGAAATAAATTGAACTTTCAGAACATAACTGAGAAAATTAAATGCCAATTTTGTGTAATGTCTATTGAAGAAGATATGATGGCAAAATAGTTTTTGCAGGATGTGTATCTTTGGATTGAGTATAATTTTTTAGACACCGTTAATAACCAAATTTTGTTTGGCTTTAGTTACAACCTTTGAGTATTTCAGCTGTTAACTTCTCCATTGAGATACACAGGCATATTATACAAGCGTCAAATAAACATTCAGGTTGCTCATTCTACTGGTTTTTTCCCAGGCTTGAAACCATTGCTATATTTGTAGTTATCTGAATGTACTGTCTGCCTTCAAAGGATTATCAAGAGTCGTGGATAGGCATCTGGGTGAATCTTTGAGCTACCCAAAATGCAAGATGGTTGAAACACAAGATAGTAGGAAGAGAAAGGGTATTGTTGATAGCAGTTGTGGAAATGGCTTTGAGAAATGGGATGCATTAGAGATGATTAGGAATCTGAACTTGTCTTGCACATTGGGTTTTCCTACAGTGAATTTTCTTTAGCTTGCTGCTCGTCTCTATTCATGCCAGCGATTTATGGGCTAGTCAGAAAAACCTCATGATTGGATTGTCCTATTAAAATAGCATAATGCATTTTCATAAAATCCTTCTTTTGATGCCCTTTTTTCTTTAAAGCGCGTCAGCTGACTGTTCAGATGATGCAAAATCCTCAGATTCTTGCAGCTCTCCAAGAAAGACTTGATGGTCTGGTAGAAACACCAACAGGATACATTGAAAGGTACAAGTCCATTTTCATAGTCCTTGTTTATCTTTCTGTAGTCAACATTGCAGGTGTATCTATTTTTAAGACCATCTAGGACTTACGTATGTAATAGTAGAAAGCTAATGTTTGTTAGTATCCAGTATAGGATTATTTGGAGTTTAAAATTTTGCTAAGTACCATCAATTTAGAGTTGGGCTTGTAAAGTTTATTTTGTATTTTGGTTCATCTGCACAGGAAAAATATTGGTCTTAACCATTTCTGAGATTTGTTTAGAAGTTTGTTAGAAATGAACAAAATTAGAAGAAATACAGATTTTTTATTTTTTTTTATTGGTGATATAAATAATAGCAAAAATTTCTTCTTGTAAATTTTTTTTAAATGGCTTTATTATTTTAAGATCCATCCATATGTATCTCTAATAGCTTCTAGCCTCTAAATGTTGCCTAGGTCTCTGATGTTTGTTCACCATGTTTATTATATGCTTTTTCTTTGATAGGCACTTAGATTGCATCCAAGCTCCTGAACACTGAGTTCATTGTAATGGTCATCCTTGTACATGTCCTCTTAAGGAACTTTGTAAGAATTTCTTTGGGAAATGTACTAATCACCGACATATGTAGTTATGGGATTTGCAAGCCTTGAGTACTTCCAGCTTGCTTTCTAGAATGACTGTGTCCAGTACATGAAAGTTGCTTTATCCTTGTGCCCTTCCAGTAATTGGCATCATTCAGCTTTATAGTTTTTATATTTTTACCAAAGAGGTGCAGGCTTATTTTCTATGTATTTTCTGATTTCTAATGAGCTTTGAGCTTCTCTTCATGGTTTTTAGGCTTTTAGGTTACTCATTTGTCTGTTTTTCTGTTGGAGATACTATTGTTTTCTTGTTTTGCAGGAGTTCTTATGTATTCTAGGTATTATTCCTTCATCAGTTTTAGACTTCGAAAATACTCTATTGTGTCCATTTCTATTAACTTTATCCATAGCATCCTCCATTTAACAGAAATCCTTAATTTTTATGTTTGTTAAATGTTTTGATCTATGGTTCTTTTAAGGTTAAGTCCTTCTTTGTTCTTTCTCCATTTTTTATTGCCTAGTTTTACCTTTCCCCTTTAGATATTTAATCCCTCTACAGTCTACCTTTGTATTTGGTGTAAATAAGCATCCAGATCCTTTTTTTCTTTCTTTTTTAGTGAGCTAGTTTTTATAACACTTCATTAAATAATTCATTCTTCTTCCATTTATTTGTGGTACCACCTTTATTGCATATCACTTGCTTATAAACACTAGTGTCTGTCTTTGAGCAGCATTCTTTTTCATTGATCTTTGTCTTTTGTCTTTGTCACACTTAATTACTATGGTTTTATGGTATGTTTTAATATCTGTCAGGGTGAGTTGCTTTCCTCTACCCCACCATGGTTGACCTAACCATCTGTAGGTCTTATCGTACATATGATTGACAGTAAGTTTATCAGCGTTTTCTCAAAAAAAAAAACAAAAACAAACTAAGCTAAAATTTTGATAGCAGTTACATTGAATATATAGATTAAAATGGCAGCTACTTAATATCTTTTTAATATTAAAATAATCTATATCTTTATATATATTCAAATAATCTGTGTCTTTTACAAAGTTTCTTCATAGTCTGTTCTTGATTAATTTCTGTATATGTTAGTTGTGTTGTTATTGTGAGTAGTATTTTATTTTTTAATGTGTTTTCTGGTTAGCTTTTCTGGTTAGCTGTTCTTAATGCAGAGAAGGAGGGCTGTTGTTTTTGTTTGTTTGTTTGTTTGTTTTTTAAGTTAATTTGTATCCAGAAACCTCGCTACACTTATTATAGCAATTCTTTATGTTTTTCACTTACCACAAAAGATCTTACCTGCAAATAATGGCAGGGTTAGCTCCTATATCACGTTTATTTTTCTTTATAATTGTTCAGGACTTTCAGTATTATGGTGCACAGAAGTGTTAAAGTGGGCATCCTTGTCTTATTTCCAGTCTTAACCAAGAATGAATATAAAATCTCCATTAAATTTCGTGTCTATTTATGATTTTTTTTTTTACTTTTTTTCTATATCAATTCAGATGGTCTTTGATGTTTGAATTTATTAAGTGTGTACTAAATATATATTTTTGGAAATGGTATTTTGGATATCAAACTAGCCTTGCATTTCTGGAATAAGTTTAATCATGCTGGATTGTTACACCACACCATTGAATTGGATAGTTAATATCTTATTCAGGATCCTTATTCATTAGTGAAATGAGCGTATACATGTGTGCATGTATGTATGTACTATAAAAAAGCTTTTATGGTGGTAATTCTATCCCCTTGTTTTATAATCAAGATTTCAACTGCCTGAGGAAATAAACATTGGCTTCTTGACTTTTTTCCTGTTTTCTAGAACAACTTATGCAATAGGAATTTTTAAATCTGTGATTATTTTCCCTTCATAGTCTGTATTTTGCATCTTCATTAGTTTTGCAAGATGTCTCAAATCTTATGTTTTTTAGAACCAGCTTTTGACTTTCCATTTCCATATCGTTTTTGTTGTTGTTATTCTTCTGACTTATATGGGTTTGCTCTGTTCCTCTTTCCAATTTCTTTAAATACATACTTAGTTCACTGGATTTATAAAAAAAAATTGTATTTTTTCTTGCCTTAATCTGTTTTTGTAAAGTTCTGTGACTGTTAAGTGTGAAGATCTATATGCTAAAATTACTGTTTCAAGCTTAGTAATTGTATTGTTCAGGTTCTCTGTTACTGCTTATTGATTATCTGCTTGATCTAACAGTACTGGGAAAGATGTGTTAAAAATCTCTGATTTATTCTCCTTTTGATCTGTCAGTTGTAGGCTATAGAAAACTCTGATATCTTACTCTAGTATGAATGTTTGCTTCTTTATTAGTAATTTTAAACTCTACATTTCTTTAAAGTGGTAATGTTTTTAGACTTCATTGCTACCATCTTTTCTTTGTTTTTAAATTTATTTTACTTTTTTTTTCTTTTTTCTACAGGTCTGTTGAGTAGATTGAGTTGTTTTCTGTTGGTTTCAAAGTTAATGCATTTCTCTTTTTTTTGTTGTTATTATGTTAAAGTGGATCATAACCTAATACCTAAGTTTATTTACCCCTATTGATTTTTTAAATTTACCAATACCTGTATTGTTTATAAATAACGTCTAGTCCTTTTATTTCTTTCCTTCAGGGCAATAGTAAAATGTACCAACATATTTGACCACTCATACCTTATATATAGCATCTCCCTGGATTTTTTTTTAGATATTCAAAAATTATTTTTAATGAATATAATGAATATCTGTGGCATACTTCCTGAAGTGATATACCTGACATAGTTTTTCTTTTGTCTTCATATCTGAATAACATTTTGGCTATAAAATTGTAAATTCAAAACTCTTAATTATTTTAAAAATTTACTTCATTTCTTCTTGTACACACTGTTTTCTTTTGAAGCCTGATTTATTTTGTAGGTAATTTGCTATCTTCATTGAACTCTTAGACTTTCTTTTTGTCTTTGATAATTCATAAATCTAATTAACCTACCTGGGGTGAAAGTAAGGATTTTCATCTTGCTTTAACTGTGAGAAATTTATTCTCATTTCTTTAGATATCCACCTCCTTTTGCGTCTTAGCTGTTGGTAAATTTGTCATCCATATCTCATAGCTTTTCTGTTGGTCTTTCCTGCTATCTTTCTGGATAGCTTTTCAGCCTCATGGACTTTTTCTTCAATTGAACCTATCCTGTTTATCCTGTTTGTTGGTTATTTTAGTTACTGTATTTTTCATAATATTGCCACCTTGTTTTAGTTTTCTTGGTCTTGTCTCATATTGTTAGTATCTCCTCTCATTTCTTTATTTGTATTCTGTTGAAATTCTTAGTTTAATATAGCTGCTATAGATTATAAGTATTTTCATCTTTCATAGAAATTGTACTCAAGTGTCTAGTTATTTTCGCCCTAGCACTTAGGGATCCTGGGCTGCAAGAGTTACTCCAATAATAAATATTGAAGGAGGAATGAAGATCAGACTGGTTTGTGACAATCCCATGGAGTTTAAGAAGGGGCAAAATGAGCCTAAGCTAAGGAGAGCTCTAGTCAGTTTAGATTCAAAGTCGGCTGACAATTGTGGGCAATTTTTTTTGACTGCTTTGGGAGGAGGCAGTTTCCTTTGGTTGTAACCTATTGTACCTGGATTGGCTGGGTAGAGCAGTGAGTGCTTGTGGGCTCTGAGCCAGTTCAGCTTTCATCAACTTCATGTTATCTAAGGAACGCTGGCACTGTGAAAGGGTGGTGAAGAGGATAAGCAGTGTTGCAAGGCAAGCACAGAACTTAAAAGGCTTTCTTTCCAGCTTGTCCTCACTGCTACCCACGCTGGCTATTCCCATTCCCTCCCCAGATGGTAGCTCACCCTGTACCAGTTAAAGACAGCCTTCAGCCTTACTCAAGTTGTTCATAGTGTTTGTGTATGTGTATTTGTATGTATGTTTCTGTTTATATACACTGAAATAGTTGTTTCCTTCTTAGTTCTAAAGTTTCCAGGGTTGGGTTTTTGAAACAGGACTTGAGGAAGAGGCCAGCAGCCTCTTCGACAGAACATTAGGCTTTTTATTTTTAATCGTAAGACAAAATTTGACATCTTTAGGTATTTTTTTTTACTTCTGATTATCTTAACTAAAGTTGTGGTTAAGATAATTACTTGATTTATAACATGTGGCAGGCATTTCTAACCTGGACTCTGGATTTGTTACACAGATTCCCTGAAGTTAGGTAAATTTTGAGTGTGAACATTTTGTGTGGTAGAGGTGTTTAAAAGGGGCTAATAGGTAATAAAGGTCTTTATAACCTTTTTAATATCTATGCCCAGTAAGTTGTATTATATGAGTTATATCAATAAAACTGCTATTTAAAAAAACCCATGTCCCCTCTGCATAAAATATTACATTCTTATTTAATATAGTTTCAAATTCCAAATTAAGAGACTATTTTTAACTTAAGACTGCATTTTAGTCTATGGTCATGCTACCCTGAACAAGTTCCATCCCGTCTGATCTCAGAAGCTAAGCAGGATCAGGCCTGGTTAGTACTTGGATGAGAGACCACCTAGGAAAACCAGATGCTGTAGGCATAAAAATATACTGAAAAAATAAAGGATTGTAAACTGACAAGGTCCTTGCAAGGGTTGCCTCGCCTAAAAAGAAAAAAAGACTGCATTTTATAGCTGAGACGCCAGCACTGATAAGAACAAAGCTGAACTCGAGTACAATGAAAGATTTGGGTTGACAATATGATTTACATTTTTTTATTAGTTTACCTGATTAAATTTCTACTTTTGAATTCTTATAAATCGAGAGGTCCATGTATTTATCTCTTGAATTTTAATAACATTGAATTAGATCTTCTACTTCACATAGGAAACCTATTTCACTAACTTTTATGGTTTAATTTCAATATGATAAAAGAAGTGTGACTTATGATGCTATGTAACTGGTGCTTTCTAACCTTTCAGCCTGCCTAAGGTAGTTAAAAGACGAGTGAATGCTCTCAAAAACCTTCAAGTTAAATGTGCACAGATAGAAGCCAAGTTCTATGAGGAAGTTCATGATCTTGAAAGAAAGTATGCTGTTCTCTATCAGCCTTTATTTGATAAGGTAATGCTTTCTACTACTTTGTTTTGTTTATCTAAAGTTCAAGAGGATAACGCAAGTCTGGAAACAAACTTTAGACCTCTCAGCAAAATGGTTATTAGAGTATTTGGGGAAACTATCAGTAATAGCACTTTAAGTTGTGGTATGTGTTAATTAAATCTCAGTGTGTTCTTAATGAGAAACAGCTAGTTTTTAGTTTGGATGCCAGTGTTTTTATGCAAGTGTTTTTTTTGTTTGTTTTTTTTGTTTTCGTTTTTATGTTTTTTAGCGATTCGAGATCATTAATGCAATTTATGAACCCACAGAAGAAGAATGTGAATGGAAACCAGATGAGGAAGATGAAATTTCGGTTAGTACCAACTTTAATTTAGTATGTTTTATACCTTGGAAATTGTTTCTTTATCATAGATGAGTAGTGAGTACAGATGAGCCAGTGTTCAACCTGGTACCATATATGCCGAGATTCACTTTTTCTTTACATTTTTATTGTACTTAACGTTTATAGATTCATGTAAATTTTTTCTTTGAACTTAATGATGGCATGCAAAGGATCGTTTTCTTTTTTCAAGTCTTCTAAATGACTTGCCCACAACTAATAAATGGTAGAGCCGTGACACAAATCCAGGTGCTCTGTTACATGACCCTGTTTTTCCAGAATTGCTATTTTAATGTTGCTTGATTAATGTTTTGATTTAAAAAATGTAAAAGGCTGAGACATTGAACAAGGTTTATATTTCTTTTGCTTTTCCTTTTTGCTATGCTTAAAGGTCTTTATTTTGATAAAGTGAAAATTTTTTTTCCTAAAACTTTTTCTTACAACTCATGGTCCTAGTGGTTCTCTTTGGAAGAGTATGATAATAGCAGTATTTATAAAAGTAAGGTTTGGTATGGGTATCAGCAGTATTTATACAATTGGACTAGAACTATTTGGGCTGAAAGTTATAGTGATTAGGAGTTTGTTGGTTTTTATACTTCTGCTACTGCATTTACATTAAGGGGATGTGTAAGATTTTATCAAGAGGTCTAATCTAAGTATTCAATAATGTATGCTGTCATTTATCAAGGAGGAGCTGAAAGAAAAGGCCAAGATCGAAGATGAGAAAAAGGATGAAGAAAAAGAAGACCCCAAGGGAATTCCTGAATTTTTGTTGACTGTTTTTAAGAATGTTGACTTGCTCAGTGATATGGTTCAGGTAATATTATTCATTAAAAAAAACACCAGTTTACCTCAGCGAGTATAAACCTTTGAAATTTAACTGTCTGTTATGACTAGTCTCTTCATTGTTGGCCTTTGTAGAATGATTGCTTTCCTTCGAAACAGAGGGTAAATTGCAGCTTTGATTAATGTAATCAGATACATTATAATTCATTTTCAAAAATTAGATATTGAAATGGTCCCTTAATAATTGCTCATTATTGTCTGGTGCTTTCTCATGGCCCTGTGCCTTTTGTTTAGATGCTTAGTATGAAGGTAGTATGGGAAGAGACTTTACAATCCCATACAACTATTCCAAGTACATTTGCATTTTAAAAAAATACTGTAAATATCTTTAACTCTTACAATTGTTACTTTCTCTGGGAAACTTTGCCTCTCTTAATCAGAAACATTTCTGAGCCACTACCCATCTGTACTGTAGTACTTGTTGCCTTATATTGTAACTGTTGGAAGTTAGTGTCAAGAAAAAGAAATTATCTCAAAACAATGACTGCTTATTGAATTCTACTTTAGCAAAGTAGGAAAGCATCCAGCAGAACGAAAGAAACAAGAGCAGCTAACAGCAGTTTATAATCAGGAAACATTTTTAAAGCAAACATGCCTTTTTATTTATTTACTTATTTATTTAAATTAAGTTTATTGGGGTAACATTGGTTAATACAATTATATAATTTTCAGTTGTACATTATAAATTGGCATCTATATATTCTATTGTATGATCACCATCCAAAGTCTAGTTTCCTTCAACTACCATATATTTATCCCTTCTACCCACTTCAACTTCCTTCTACTCCCCTATATTTGACTGCCTTTACTCCGTCTACCTCTCCCTCCCCCACCCCTTACCATCTGGTAACCACTAGTCCATTGTCCATGTCCCTGAGTCTCTGTTTGTCCTGTTCATTTGTTGCTTTTAGGTTTATATGCCACATATAAGTGATATCGTGTGATTTTCAGCTTTTTCTGTCTGGCTTATTTTGCTTAGCATGATTATCTCGAGGTCCATCCATGTTGTCGCAAATGGCAGTATTTCATCTCTTCTTATGGCTGAGTAATATTCCATTATATATATGTACTACAGCTTCTTTAGCCAATCATCTATCGTAGGACACTTCGGTTGCTTCCATGTCCTTGCCACTGTGAATAATGCTGCTATGAACATCGGTGTGCAAATATCTTTTGGGATATGAGTTTTCAAGTCTTTGGAGTAAATACTCAGTAGAGGGATTGCTGGATCATATGGTAGATCAATTCTTAGTTTTTTGAGGAACCTCCATATTGTTTTCCATAGTGGCTGTACCAATTTGCAGTCCCATCAGCAGTGTATGAGGGTTCCTTTTTCTCCGCATCCTCTCCATCATTTCAAACATGCATTTTTTAGATTTAGTTTTGTACTCTTCAGCTCATTCAGTCTGTGTAATGATGTAGTCAATTGTTATGTAAAGCTTCACTATGAAATATCAGCTAAGTGTTTACTTAGTGACAATACTAATACTAAAATGCCATATCGCTCATTTTAATGTTTTTGTTTTAATTTGAAGGAACATGATGAACCTATTCTGAAGCACTTGAAAGATATTAAAGTGAAGTTTTCAGATGCTGGTCAGCCTATGGTAAAAGAACTTTGAAATACTTTTAATTTATAACATTAGATGTTTACAAGTAGATAAATGAGGTGTGACATTCAAGGATTAGAGATGGGGATTTGAAGAAATTAAAACTGATACTTGGTACATTTGGTAGGAAGTAAATGTTTGGATGTTGATATGTGATGCAACATTTATTCTTTTTCTTCTCTGAACATAACATCCTGTATTAAAAATGGGTAAAAAATAATAGCAAGGAAATATGAATAAGAATATAACTTATTCTGTATTAAAAGGTATGTTTCTGGGAATTACATAAAATAGGAGATGTTAGAGGGTCCCCACTTCCACATTATAAAAGATCAACCAACAGCTTCTCCCCAAAACCATCAGTATTATGTAAATTATGAGCAAACCTACTACAGGCTATAGATTCTTACATTGTGAGTAATAAGGGGCTTTTTCTCTGTCAATCTAGGTTCTAGTCTAAGATTTAAAGTTATTTATGGGGATTGAGGGAAAAAGTGGGACTTGGTCAGTTTATTCAGCTGTGCCTAACCTATTTTGTAAACATGTTACTAAATAGTGTGAGCTGAACTAAGTTTTATTCAGTTTCTTTTGTGTCTCATTTTGCTTTTAACATAATTTGGGATTTATCTGATTATTTTCCAGAGTGGGAAAAACATCACTTAGAATTTTATGTTCATAGAAATCACCAACATGTTGAAATTGATGATGTAGGAGTTCATAAATTTTTTTTGCTTCTTTTTTTTAAGAGCTTTGTCTTGGAATTTCACTTTGAACCCAACGAATATTTCACAAATGAAGTGTTGACAAAGACCTATAGGATGAGGTCAGAACCAGATGATTCTGATCCCTTTTCTTTTGATGGACCAGAAATTATGGGTTGTACAGGGTGAGTTTAATTTTACTACTTTAATAGAATATTACATCTGTTTCTGTTTTACTTACGATTTGTGATATTTGATATTTCCTAGTGTGTGTGCTTGATACATACATGCATAGGTTATCTATAGACATGTGAGTAAAATGTTTTCTGAGAAGAGCTCATCCATTTTTCTAGAATTCTTGGCTCATAGACTGTCACAGATATTTCTCCAAAGGAAGTGCACATTTAAATTATATTGCGAGTTCATGGTAATTATAAATGTATTTATTGAAAAAATTTGTTTAGAAATAACGTTTTTCTCTTACACTGCTATAGAAAGCATTTGAACCAATTTTGCCCTCTAAAATTTGAAATCAAATCTACCATTGAATTAGAAAAATCTTAGCTCTCCTTGCAATTGAAAGTAATGTGTTAATTGTGATAAATTTTTTTCCTTTCGTTTTGGAAGGTGCCAGATAGATTGGAAAAAGGGGAAGAATGTCACTTTGAAAACCATTAAAAAGAAGCAGAAACACAAGGGACGTGGGACAGTTCGTACTGTGACCAAAACAGTTTCCAATGACTCCTTCTTTAATTTTTTTGCCCCTCCTGAAGGTAAATAGTGTTTTAGTGTGAGTATTGATGGCTATTTTATTATAAGCTTTAATTTTTTATTAATTTGGATTTCTTTTCTCAATTTTTCAGTTCCTGAGAGTGGAGATCTGGTAAGCTGAATTGTTACTTACTTGTTAAATTGTTTACCGTATATGAAATTAAAGGACTAGTTCTCAAAAATGGGGAGTGGGACAGTTCCTACTAGCATTTTGTTCTGAGGCTTGCAGTGCATTTGGAAGACCTTTATGCATCTGTAAAATTATTCCATTCAAAATGCTTATAGTGCTTCCACTGAGAGATGCTGAAAAGCTAAAGTTTTTTTTGTGGGTTTTTTTTGTGGGTTTTTTTAGACTTAGAAATATTGCTGTAAGGAATTCAAGTTTTCAAGACGATAATTCTCTTCCTCATTGAAACTAGAATGTACTAAGTCATTTAAACTATTTACTAAACTTATCTAACCACACTCTGGTTAGAACTCTTTCTATATTTATTATTCCAATGGAAATATGGTTTTATATATGTATATGTAGCCAAAGATGTAAGAAATGTTCCTGGCACATAGCCTGGAATGAGGAACAACCTTAAAGAAGCCTATACAGGCAGGGTAGGTTAGGTATGTTTTGAATTTGGTTTTCATTGGCAAAGTTTTTAAATTAACTGATGTAGTTTAAATAGTTTTATACATATATGGAATTAGAAATTATGTTTATGTGAATACTTTTGAATTGGAATAGTTTTGGCTATTTAGACCAGATCTGCAAAAGGCAGGTATTTCTGTATATTGTGAAGAGTGATAACTAGCTTAGCTCAAAATGTCTTTTATAGGACAGAAATGGGGAATAGAAAGTGGCAAGTGAATTTTAGGTAAAAATAACTATTTATGAGCATTAAGAGTTTCACTCTATTTTCATGTCAGGGGATGGGTTGGAGTTTGTGTTCGTGTGTGTGTGTGTGTGTGCACGCATGTGTATTTTAAGTCTGCTACCAAATATTGATAACAAAACAATCTTGAGTACTTATGGATAGAACACCTCCAATTTTGAAAAATTTCAGCACCATTTCAGTATTGTGCTTTGCCTTTAAATAGAAATCCTAGATTAACTCAGTCTTTTATCAAGTGGGAATTTGTCTCCTTATATGGCATTATACAGTTGCTTGGGTGCTATCTTTTAGGAAGTGTGAAGTCATCCTCTGTGGTCTTGTATTATGTGTCATATACTTAATGTTATTTATGAAAGCCTGAGATTTTTTCTTACTGTTGGTGTTTTCAGTAACTAATGCTTTAAAAGGAAAATTGCAGTCATATAACAAAGTTGCTTTTTTTAATGCCAGAAAAAAAGCAATGACTAGTTCTAATTTTTTATTTCCCAAAGATTCTCTGAGTATGTACACTGGCCTGCTAACTTTCTTTTATTAAAAACCTGTAAAGCTAGGGCATATATAGATGACTATTTGATCACACACATAAGCTAGTTTAAAAATGACGGGAAATTAAAAGTGAAATTGAGTTTCTTCATAATTTAAACCCAAGAGTCTCCCATATGCCAAATTAAATAACCAAGTTATTACATTTTATGCTTTTTTTCTTAAATAGGATGATGATGCTGAAGCTATCCTTGCTGCAGACTTTGAAATTGGTCACTTTTTACGTGAACGTATAATCCCAAGATCAGTGTTATACTTTACTGGAGAAGCTATTGAAGATGATGATGATGATGTGAGTGAATCTGAATCCTGCAATAAAATCATTTGGTGAGGGTATGATAGTCAGAATTGGTGAGAGATTTAACGAATAGAAGTAATTTTTAGAAAGCAAGACAGACTAATGCAATCAGGATAATTACTGATCTGTAGATTACTTTCCTTAATTTTTCTAAATGGGTCCTCTTTGGATTAATTAGTAAAACTTTACTATGTTTGATTAGTGTTAAAGATCTATTATACTCTTGTCTTTGACCAAATGAAACAAACATAGAACTTTTATCTGAATGAATATTAAATTACATAAGGTAAAATTATGCTGCCCCCATATGTTTTGGATCTGTTTACTGCTAAATGGCGATCAAATAGGCTTTAGGTCTTTTTTGTGCAATGTGTTTCACACATAAGTACAGGCAAGTAATATTTACAGTGATAGTTGTATTATCATGTTTTATCCACAATTGTACTATGCTCTAAATTTTCAAATCGTCAGTTTTAATGGCACTGAGCTGAGTGATTCCTACAGCAATTGCCCTTTTTAAAATTTATAATGAGTCACCTTAGGGAAAGTATTTTTCCTTTTAGGTATTAGTGAATACAATGATGGATGAAACTAATGCTGTTCTCAAATATTTGTTAGCTTCATTCAAACTTGATCCTTTTTCCTTTTTTAGTATGATGAAGAAGGTGAAGAAGCGGATGAGGTAATGTTTACCAAATGAGCCAATAATTCTCTGTCTAACACACTGAGAAGCAAATTGAGTGATTTATATATTCCTTTGCTATAATCATTATTCTGTGATATGGGATAAAAACTTTTTTTTGGAAAAAATTATGATTTTAGAATTCTACAGCCAAACAATGTATGTATAAGGTTTCAATAAATAAATTGCAAAACTCAGAACATTTTTTTTATTTCAAATAATTCTGTTCTGCTGCAGGGTTATCAGCTCTTTGAAGAAGTCAAAAGCTGCAGTAAACTTTTTCAACGTTGGCTGCAGTAAATCTTTTCAATAAAAGCTATCTGGATGTCTCAAGTTGTGTTGGGAAATTTTTCATATTAGAAGCTTTCAAATTAAATTGCATTGTCACCAAACTCTGTAATCATGAAAACCTCTTGACCTATAGAGTAACTTGTATTAAATTCTCCCTACATTATGAGCCATTTCTTGCTACTGTGTACCTACTTCATGGATGCATTTTGAACTTTAATATAGGAAGGGGAAGAAGAAGATGAGGAAAATGATCCAGACTATGACTCAAAGGTGAGCAAAATCAGTGCTACATTTTGTTAATTTTAAGGCGGGTTAAATAAAAATTGGTGTTTACAAATGTAAAGTTTATTTTTGTCCTTTAAAGTCGTAAAAACTCATTGACTGGAGATATATTAAATACACACTGGCATTTCAATAGTACATGTAATTTTGATGCACCTCTCTTAAACTTTTATTTTGGGTTTTGACCTTGTATTTTTCATAGTTTCAGGCTAAGTAAACCCTAGGATTCTATTTCAGTGGCACATAATTGTAGAGTTCTTTTTTTTTTTTCCCCTAGTTTTTTAGAAACATTTTAAATTACTTATAGCTTGTGGTCTCAGGTGGTTTTTCCTTTGAAAGAAAGCTTATAAATGTCAGTTTTTAAATCATCTGAATGCAAGAATGCTTGGGAATAGGGTATCAGTACCATTAGATTCTTCCAGCCACCTTGTTCTCCATCTCTCAGGAGTCCCAGTCTGTTATTCCTGGAATTTGTCACATCAGGGTTGGTAAAGGCCTTTATCCTCCCACAAAATACATAGTGTACTTTTATCAAGATTCATTTGAAACTTGTTTTCTTTTTAATACATTCATTTATTTGGTAAATACTATAAAATATTCAGAAGGTACTTTAACCTAGTGAATAGGAAAGAGAGGGTAGTTAAACATCAAATTAAGTAGTCTCACAGGTATGAATCACTCATTATTATGAATGGAATCAGTATTTTTGAATAACTGATCTATAAAAGCAGAATCGGTAATATGGCTAACAAATTGCTTGATTATTTAACTTTTTAAGATTATGGCTCAGGGTGTCTCATGGAGTTCATTCTACAGTGTAAATTGGGACTTGCTAATGTTTGAATAAATTAATTGCCATCATTGCTGTACCCTTAATTTGGCAAAAATTTTGACAGACAGTGAGATAATGTGATTTTAAGGTAATTAATTACTATTGAAAAATTAAGCAGGGTAGAAAAAGATAGATTGACTTGTTGTTTTCCTTTAACAGAAGGATCAAAACCCAGCAGAGTGCAAGCAGCAGTGAAGCAGGATGTGTGTGGCCTGAGGATAACCTGCACTGTAATAGCCTAAACACAATTATTATTTACTTACAGCCTTATGTTTTTGTATATTCTTGGTAGACTCAGTAATTTTTTTAAAGGAAAGGAATTGATATTTTAAAGACCAATTTGTTCTACCTAGCATTTTAACTTTAGTTTTTCTGCCAGATGTGTTGAATGCAGAAATTCTTTCACACATTTTCATTCATTGCCACATAGTTTGGTTCTTCTGGAGTATTTTTATCGTGTAACTATTAGATTACAGTTATGAAAATAAACAACTGTTAAATGAAACAGATTTTTTGTTACGCTTTTTTTTTTCCTGAAGAACCAAAGTATTTTTTCAGCTAGTAGTTAAATGGGTTTAGATTTGCTTGCACAAGCTTTGCCTTCATTATTTTGTTTTAGAAATGTAGTGTTCATACAAAGACATTTCATCATTTTAAAAAAACGAAAACAAAACTTGTTAGAACAAGTATATGGTTAAGAATTTCCAGTAAGACTACATGTATTGACTTAGATTGTTAATGGATTTTTGTATTTTAGGTTACATAGTTAACTGTAAAGAACCCTAACATAGTAGTATGGTTATTGGTTACCACAAGGAGGGTGAATAAAACCTAGTATTATCAGAAGTTAAGCTTCATTATTTTAACTGTACTTTTAAATTTAACTTCCATTAACTAAGCATCTTTTCTTTGTGGTAGGGTCTACCTTCTGCTTCCCTGGAAAAGGATGAATTTTCATCATTTGACAAGCCTATATCAAGTTTTTTTGTTCGTTTGTTTGCTTTTGTTTTTGCAGCGTAAAATAAAAATGTCAAATATAATTTTAGTTCTCACAAGGTAATGTCTTAATTTTGTACTAATTCAGGTAGAAGCAGTCATAGCTTTAATTAAGTGTTGTACCTAGAGTACTATATTGAAGAAAAGGATGCCAACTTTGGAAGAGGTGTACTGCATCTCCTAGTAAGAAAGTGTGGAAAAGAAAGACAAAATCTTAATCTTAAATGATGTAATTTTTTTTTTTAAAAGAAAAAAAGTTAAGGGTTTTTTTTTTTTTTTTTGGTTAGAATGAGAGGGCCCCAAACCTCTATAGTTCCAATTCTTAGTGCTTAAAATATGTTATTTACCCATGCTTCTGTTTACTATGTATTAAAATGGGTAGTACTGTTTACTTAACTACCTCACAGATGTGTTATGCATATTAAGTTAAATTTTATGAAATGTTTCTCAACCTTATAAAAACTTAAAAATTTGGACCTATTTGCACCACGAGTCTGATATTCAGCATTTTATTCATTCCATGGTTTGATAAACTGGGAAACAAAGATTAAGTACTTTATTATGAATCTGGTCAGATAACACTTTGGCTCCTATTTTAATAGAAGTGGATGGATAACTATTTCAAAAGGTCCAAGGATTGTTTTTAGATATTTTAGTTATGACCATGTTGTAGAGATCATGGGACCAAAAAGAAAAAAAAAAAAAAAAACAACACCATTTTTAGGGGGGGAAATGCCATTAAATTTGAGACTGTAGAGCCACCTTTAAAATACCTCAGGCTAATTACTGTTATTTTTTTTTGTGGTGAACTTAAAAGCTTTGGCAGTGAGGGTGGACTTAAGTGGATTGTAATTAGAGGACAGCTTAGAGTTTCTACTCTTAATAAAATTATATAGGTTCATTTTTAGAGGTAATAGAGCTTCCGTTTTGAAATTTTAATATGAAGGTCTTGGAACATGGACACATTTTGTTATTTGCATAGTACTATCCATTCTGTTTCTGAGATTTTAATTAACTACTGGAAATCCTTAACCGACTGCAATAGTTAGTAGGGGGAAAAAATGCCATGAAAGCACCTTATGTTTTTCCTCTTAGTTTTTGAATGATTTTGGTTGCTTTGATTAGACATTCTGTGCTGATTTTTTTGTGTGTGTGTGCCCATAGCTCATTTGAACACAGCTGAACTTAAAAAAAAATTTTTAATCTAAACATAGGATCCCATTTTTAATGAACTTAAAGTAGCAAAACCACTGTTTTTTTAAATTTGTTTGGGTTTTTTTTATTCCTCTAGGAAATAGCTATTGCCAAAGTGAAGGAGTAGATACTATTTTGTCTTGTTATATAAGGGTAATGTGGTTGCAGAGGAATTGTTCTCTTAATAAAGTTGGAGTTTTAAGAGATATCAGTGTTCATCTGTGCCATTTCTCCATTCTGAAATGGTTCTATTCCATTCTAGAAATTTGAAATATGTAATTTGAATTCCTTAATAAAATTTGCATTTAATTTTATAAAATGTACTCGTGATATTTTGGGTGGTTTTTTAATTTAAAAAGTGACTATACTTTTTTGGAAGAACAGAGTAGAGATGCTTAGAGTAGGCTATTCTGTGGTTAGTCCACAGTGGCCCATAAATTTGAATAATTTCAAGTTGCGAGCAACCTCCCAAGCCCTGCGAAACGAAGTTTGTTGTTGGAAGACTAGAAAGGAAGGAATTCCGCAGTTCTGCAGATTTTATTCTGTTAGCTATAGCCATTTTGAGACACTTAAAATTTTGTCTTTCCATTACATTTTCTGTTTATAGTTTTCTCTAGCCCAGGCACTGGCTACCAGGAAGTTCTCATTTTTTCCCTTCAGAAATTATAAAATCCAATATGATCACCTACAAATAATTTGAAAATATTTTTTAACATTTTATGGTCATTCAAATATGATAAGCAGAGAACAACAGATCCATAAATTGATTAGTTTTTAGTTCTCTAAATTGATCAGATTGGATGTCTGAAAGTTAAGTTTATGTAATTTCTCAGAATTATTTTACCTAGTTCACCAAAGCAGTATTTGTGACAAAAATTACTTGTGTGGAATTGGTTTGGAGTAGTACTTAAGAAAAAATGGGATTCTACCTCTATTTCCTTTTTAACTCATTTAATAACAGATAAACCTGAAAAGGAGACAGTAGCTTTGATAGAAATGTTTTCATTCTGTGGATAGGTTAATAACATTGATTAGTAAATGATGTCCCCTAAAATAACTGAATTAACTTTATATTACTGCTCCTTGTAAGACAGTATGAATTTGTGGGTTTATCTGAGTCGTAGGCCATTCCCATTTTTAAAAATAAATACAAAACTTTGAATTATTTGTGAAAACCTCATACCATGCAGAAATATTAAACTAATATTCAAATATTCTTTGGATGCTTGGTTTCAGGGCTTGGTTTAGAATTTGAGTCCATTATTTAGATTAGTCTTATAAAAATTTAAGCCTTTAATTTTTTGACTGTTTAAATAAAGCCAGATGTTATTTTAAATGTACAGATTAGATGGATAGCTTAGAAAGAAGCATACATTCTTTATAGGAATCTTAGAAAGGAAAAATTATATGCCAATTTATTTTTTAAACTGCACTGTATATATATTCAGTAATTGTAAACTGGATTTTGTCTTAAAAATGTTCATAATTTAGGTAATTTGCTACTTAAAGCACTAAGTCTAATAGCTAAAAATGTGAATGATAACTGAGATTAACTTATAGCTGTATAGTGATTTTGTATACTGACTTAAAAATTCAGATATTAAAACTATAACTTTGATAAAAAGCCAAGTTCTTGGACTGATTAAGAACAACTTACTTGACTTCAGAGAAATGAAAACATCTTTGTTGTATTGTGAAATTACTTAAGGTTAAGTGTTTATCCATGAGAAAATTGATGTAATTTAGTTAATTATATTGTCAAAAAATACAATGTGCTTTGTATCTTGTGTTTCTTCCATTTGACATACTGTACTTTTAGGTTTTTCAGTTTAAAAATTAAGGTTTTAACTAATTCTAAGTATAAAATAAATGAAACTGAGTATAACAATTTAGAAATAATAAATTGCCAGCAGGAAATAAGTCTTTAATCCATTTGTTTAATTTTGATACTCAGCATAAATTATTGCTTAAAATCGGTGCTTTTCAGTTCATATATTTTCAGCATAAAAGCAAGAAGGACGAACTGGGGATAAGTGATCCAAAATACAAATGCCAGAAGTTGACATCTCAGTAAGAGTTAACGGTATTAATATTAATAATTTTGCAAGTCATAATGAAATTAATCAGTTGTGGCTCTGAACTTTTCATGGAGTGGTAAAATGGTTTCTGCCAGAATATGCATTGTGTGTGAGAGCTTTTAGTGAGAATTTCAAGGATAAGTAGTGAGGGATGGAGCCTATGAGCAGAAAGCAGTTCAGGTGAAGATACTGGAGGAAATAAATGAAGGTCCTTAAGTAGGAAATTCAGGGTATTGAAAGACTGGATGGAGAGATACAAGGGGCCATGCCATGAAAGACAGCCTTAGAAATCCTTTTACAGGGTTTAAAACTCTGAAAACCACTGTTCAGGGTATTTCAAGTGACCTTGCCATGAAGATAATTTTTAAACTAAGATATGATAAGACTATTGAGAGTCAGCCACTTGAAGGTAAGAACATAAATGCTGGAGGCCTCAGGACTAGAGACTAGTTCTAAAGTAGCCTACCTTGTCAAGAATAAGAGGTGAATTTCCTTTTTTAAAAAATAATGGATTCAGGGTTACCTATGATGAATCCTCTTAAAGTCAAGTTCCAGAGTTCTTTTGCGGGGGGAGTGCTTTATCGATGTTTCAGCTTTTCTCTAACAGGAATAATAGTTGAAAGAATCCCTGTATATTTTTAAATCATTTGTTGATTTATATTCTTATGCATAACAGTATTTTAAAATCTTTGACAAGGTTGCAGGCATTATGCCCTTTACATTCTAAATGCTGTTTTCTCACTACAAAGACATTCTTGTAGAGAATTTTACTATGCAATCACAATTCATTTTGATGCTTAAATCATTCCAGATTTGACCAGTGGTATCCTTATGAAGTTCCTATGCACTTGTGTTGTGTCTTATGTCATTTGAGCACTTAACTGTAGTTCAGCTGAAAAAGACTTGGGGGGCGGGGATCTCATCTTAGGCTTTTCCTCTAAGGATCCCAGGGTTTTTTAATGGGGAATGGTATTTAGAAACCAAGTCTGAGTGTTGGGTATGCTTATTTCTGGGATGTCCTTGTTTCTAGGTCTTATCAGGCGACAGGAAGTACATCCAAAATGACATACAGTGAAGTACTTCACAGTTTATCCAACATAATAGGATTCCAAGCCTTACCCTAGTCCATATTGGTAATTACCTTCACATAGGTGGAGTTAGTAGCTGATCCAATTGGGAATCGTAGGCAAGGTTGCTCTACAGGAATAAAAAAATGAATAAAAAATAGAAAAGATCTAAATTTAGACTAAAACTTTGTAACCCGTAAATGACTAAACATTTTTAATATAGGAATTAAATGATTTATATACTGGGTAGTAGAATGCTTAAACATAGGCTTTGGAGTCTGTCCAACACTTGTTCTTTCAGGCTTAATGTTTTACTATGACATTCTCCAAAACACCAAATCGTAATTAGCCCATCCTATACATCCCAAACATCTACCTGGATGGACAGTCTAGGGGTGGACAATGAGACAGGTGTTTTGAGAGCAGATGTGATTTTAGGCTTGGATTAGGCCCATTGATGTTTCAAAAGTAGAAGCTGAATCTGTTGTCTGCTGTTCAGTTGGTTTGGTGAGTAGACCTAGAACCTTTGGAGCATCTTCGACATAAACAACCCAGCCCGTGTAACCTCTCTTTGCACTGTTTCAGCCCTGCTTGGCTGCCTTTTCTTTCATTTCCTGCCATATGTGCATATATCTTATTGATTCAAAATAGAGTCACCTTTTTATTGAATTAATACTCTGGTTCTTCATTTCCGAACTGAAGTACTCTAGAGGTGCATGCTATTGGATATCCCGATTTTCAGTATTGGGCTTGGAAGATGGTAGGTATACAGCAAATTTTTGTGTACATAGATTTCTTAGGATTCATCTGGACTCCTTCCAGTCTACCACCCATGATACTATGGGACCTTGTAACAAGTTCCTCAGAAGTTGAATCTTAAGTCAACCAAGATAGTCCAAGATCCTTTGTAATTATCACAGTCCTACATACTTGAGTCATTTATATTGAGAAAACCAATGAAACAAAGCTGGACTGTGTATTGTTCTGTAAACTCAGTGGGACTATTAGAACGTGGAGAGTATTATCAGTGGTTGTAGCAGATACCCAGTACCACATGACATAACCACTGCCAAAACTTAAAACATTGACAAGATTTCCTTTGCCGACTGCTTGGATAGTTCATTTTTGCTCTGCTGAACAGCAGGGACAGCTTTTGAAGGGGAGGGAATGAAATCATCTGAAGGCTCTTCATGTACAGATGGTTGATACTAGGTGAGACTTCAACTGGGACGTGGCCAGAACTCTAGACGTTGCCTCACAGGAGAGTGGTTGGTTCCCAAAAGTTAGGTAAATGAATCTCTTTTATGACCTACACTGGGAAGTCGACTCTTCTGTACTCTATTCATTAGAGTCAGCCACAAACCCACCAATGCGAGGGGACTGCATCTTGCTGGAGGAATGATGGCAAATGGCAGGTATAAAATAACCATTAGGTATAGATTTCTAAGGGTTCAGAGGAAAACTACATTGTTATATACTGTTAGCAGTGGAGTTCAGAGGAAAACTACATTGCTATACTGTTAGCATTTAAAATGGGTGGGACTTTTGCTTTTATAGCATTATAAGTCAACATTTTGAAATCATGTATTTAACTACTTAAGATAATAGAAATAATCCTTAATATTTGTTTGAGGATGGTAATTATATGTAAGGATAGAAGTTGATTGGTGTTGGAACCAGTATTTCTTTGGCCTCTGAGAGACCCCTGCACTGGCTTCCTGCACATATTCCTGTGTGCACAAGTGGTTAAACACTTTAAGCTACAGATATCAGAATATCAACTTTAGAGACTAGAGTTAATCTGGACTTAATTTTATAGTTATCAGAAAGAGGTTTCCAACCCCTGGTTTGCTGTCCTGGGCATGGCATATGGCGCTTACACATTGTTAAAGTTGCTTTAGTGTTTGAAATGGTTGCTGCAGCTCGACCATTATATCCAGGTTCTAGGCAATAGGTGGGGTGGAAGGAGGCCAAAGACTCCTGGCACCTCAACTATCTTTAAAGAAGAGGCTATGATTTGTTCTTAGAACACCCAAGAGGCTGGTAAATGTAGATCTGGACATCTAGAGCCGAAGCTGAGTTTGTTAAGAATTGGAGAATGGAGGTTGAGATTACAGTCACATTGGCCACATACACTGAAGAGACAGATTTATGAAAGGATTATTTGAT